ATGACCAATCCTCGAAAACCAACATATTTGACAATATAAATGGCCTCCAAAAATAATGAAAATTCCAGAATTATTTGAGGGATGATGTAGCACCATTATTCAGATTTAATTGGGGAGAATTAATTAAATAAAAAATCAAAGGAGCATGGAAAGCATTGAGGGACACATCATCAAGTGAAAAAGGGGCATGGGAGGTGTGACATGATCAGATCTAATTGGATGACATGTGGCAGCTGATTGGGAGCCTAAGGAGGAGTCACATTTCCCACACATGTTCACATGGCCCTTGCCACATTTTCCACCTCATTTTTATTCCCATTTTAGCTTATTTTCGTCCATTTTTCCAGCTCATTTCAGATCTAAACCTTCCTTGTTTTTATCACCATCCACTTTGGTTTTATCACCACTCACATTTTCCACACATACATAAGCTGAATTTTCAGATGAGAGCCTCATAATTCAGATCCCACTCTCTCACTTCAGCCATATTTCTCTCTCTTCTTCTTCATTCATTTTCGTCCAGCACTATTCATCCATTTTTCAGATTTCATTTCTTCATCTTCCATCATCAACACTTGGTCCAAATCATCATTCCTTCTCTATTCAGATTTTTGTCCACTTTCTTCTCCATTCCAGCTTGCATTTTCGTCCATCTCTTGTCCAGATTTCCAGATTGCAACTTCTTCATCTTCATTCATCCATGGAAGCTTCTCAAGCTCAAGGTCTGATTCAAGCAAAGAGGAAGAGCATGAGAGGCTGATCATTTAGAGCTCCAAGAAAGATGACTTGACATTATGAGATTTCCAGATTTGTAATTGTTGTTCATTTTCTTGATTTCATGTTCTTGTCTTGATTCTTTGAGGATTTCGAATTTTGAACCTATTTTGGTTGAAGACTTTGTGATTCTAATTCAGATTTGATGAGAATATGAATGTTAAATTTAGATTTTCATGCTATTTTTAGTTCTAGAATTTATGATTTACCTTGATGTTCTAGGGTTATTTCATAAGTTCTTGCTGATTCTTGTTCAAGTTCTTGTGTAGACTTGAGTTAGATCCATATTGGTTATATGAATTTGACTTAAGCTGTTTTTCTTCCACTAGTTTTAGTCTGAAACTTGTGTAGAATAAGGCTGAATATAGTGTTAATTTCTAAGTTTACTTGACCTAGATTCATTAGTGTCCATTGAGTCTAATGGTGCACCACACTTAGAGGTTTCTAAGTGTCTCATTTTAGGTTAATCAAGAAGGTTTATGATGTTATAATTCTGGAAATCAATGATTAATGTTAGGAAATCTGACTTGGGCTCACCATAATCATCATTCATTTCATTCCAATTAAAACAGAATTTTACAAACATTTATTGTTGCATTATAGAGTTAGTTTAGTCACTTAAAAATTCAGATTAATTTGTGGCATTTGAACAATGATTTGTATGGTTTGCTCTCTAGGGAAATGACCTAGAATACTCACTTCAACATTCTAGTAAAATTTAAAATTCTCAATTAATCAAAGACAAGAACATGAAATCAAGAAAATGAACAATAATTACAAATCTGGAAATCTCATAATGTCAAGTCATCTTTCTTAGAGCTCTAAATGATCAGCCTCTCATACTCTTCCTCTTCACTTGAATCAGACCTTGAGAAGCCTCCATGAATGTATGAAGATGAAGATGAAATCTGGAGATCAATGTGTGCTGGACGAAATCTGGAGGAGAAGAAGAAAATGGACGAAAATTTGGAGGAGAATGAAGGCAGAATTCAACCTGAATGAAAGAGAAAGGAGAAGAAATGATCTGGATAGTGAGAGGATGAGAAGATGGTGTGATCTGGACAAGAAGATGAGAGAACTGAATCTGGGAAATTGGAGAGTGAATATGAACGAAAATTGAGAGAGAATATGGCTGAAGTGAGAGAGTGGGATCTGAATTTTGAGGCTCCAATCTGAAAATTCTGCTTAAGTATGAGTAACTAATTCTGATCCAATGGTGATGATTCCAAGGCTAAAAACTTAATCAATTATTCCAGCTGGAAAAAATGAATTAAAATTAAAAATTAATTCTGGAAATTAGAGGAAATGAGGCGCCAAAATGAGCTGGAGATGAGAGCATGAACAATGTGACTAAGCATGGACCATGTGACTTCATGCATGGGCAAAAACGTGACTCTCTCAGCTAGCTCATTTCCATGTGAATTTCCATGCATTTCAGAAATGATTCACGCCTAAATTGCTTCTCCCTTGCATCATGATGATGTCAGCTATTGCTTCCCATGTGATCAGCTTCAATTCACGCCATTATGCACTTCTTTGTTTCCCTTGATGATGTCATCCCATGAATTCCTTAGATCAGATTATACATGTGCTCTTGACTTCTCCAAATTTGTTGACCAAGTCTTTGCTCCTTGATTCCAAAATTGCTCCCACACAAATCTGAAAATAAAGACACAAAACTAAATAAATTCCAAAAAAAGACAATTAAAAAGGAAGAAAGTGAGAATTTTAAGCCCAAAAATCCAATCAAGCATCTTAAAGTCTCAAACCATCCACCAAATAGCATTATTAGGGTCTATGTAGTCAATGTGTGAAACATAGCTAAAAACCAGGAAACAAACCCTAATATGCACTATTTGGTGCCAAAAACCAAGTGTATAACATGTAAAATATGAAGTAGATCACTCATTTTAAGTTCCTTGTCATATTTGAAATCTTGTTTTCAAAATCATGATCATCTTATTTATAATTATTTTACTATTGATGACTTGATAAGTGTGAGAAGCTGATGAGCTTCATTTAACCTTCTTGGACTCAATTATGCTTGGGGACCATAAAAATTGTGTTTTTGTAGGTCTCTATTCTTTATTCAAGTATAAAAAAATTGTTGGGGTATGGTTCTGACTATACCAGTGTAGCTTGTGAAGTAAAGAAATGAAGATGAAGCCAGCTTATTCTTGAATAACATTATTGTGGTATAAATCTCTTTATACTAGTATAGCAAGGGACTTCAAAACGGATGGCTCAAACAAACAATATGGAGGACTCTTTAACTTCCCAAGGAATTTTTGCACAAGATTAGATATTTAAATTCAATATATTTTTGTAGACAAAATGATCAAAGAAAAAATCTATTGATGTTCAAATCATCAGAGTATCAAATAGCTTGATCTACAAGTCAAGTAAAATGCAAAATTATTAATTTTTTCTAACACATATCTACTACCTTGAACATAGTTTTGACATTTTAGATCATAAAAGGACTCTCATAAAAAAATTCACTATTTATTGAGTGATATGCACATACTATAATAATATCCAATAGATGCATTATATTTCAATTTCATATACTAGTGGAGACTAATGATATATGCAAATTTCTACCAAAATATAATATACTTTGATCATAATTATTATTAGATTTTTGTGAATCAAATAAATGTTCAAACATCCAATAATAACTTTACACTTCAAGTGTTTAGGGAATTGCACATCCATGATTTTCACATATTAAAAATTAATGTAATTCTACTCAAATTTATACATCTTTTAACTTTTTTCTTTGGTTAATCATCTTTACTCACACACACAGATATATATATATATATATATATATTGTAATGTATTTGTATGTAAGATTCTCATTTAATTTGATCATATGATATTATCATTAAATTTTTATTGACAACTTTATGTTTTTTGTTCTGCTTTTCTTGTTACAACATAACTTACTAAGATCTCTTTATTACTAGAAAACGAAGATAAATATATTCCTCTACCCCAATAGGGTCGATAAGAATACTGGGATACCATGAATCAATAAGGTAGATACTCTTTGAAATTACAAGGTTATCATCCTCTAAACAAAAATGAAAAAACTTTACCATGCCATTTGGACCAACTATCTACATGGTTCACACAAAAATCAACAAGTGTTAACAAAAAGTCCTTCGGATTTATGCCATAAATTAATTTGGTAGAGGCTCATGTTGATAACATATTATCAAACTAGAAGAAATATAAAAGAGATTTAAGTTAAGAGAAATGAATAGGACTAGAGAAAAATGATAGGAGAAAGTAAGGAGTGATTCTTCACATCATCAAGCTTACAATCACTTGGTACATGTCCAATATATTTATGTGCCACAAGACCTTAAATTCTATTTCTATTTCTATTCCAAGAATTACAATGAAAGAATAAATTTACGTAATTGTAGAATATATAAACATTTGAAGATTATATGTATTAATCATAGAAAACTCTCAAGAGGCCATTCATGTTGTCAGTTATGTAGCTTTAAGTGTAGAATTCTAAAGGACAACTCTTAGAAGGTTATACATATCCACACTTAATGAATTGTAATATTTATAATATAGGAACAAGCTTAACTCCGCTGATTGAAGCTACTTAGTAAATGTGGATTTGCATCACTAATAATGTGAGTCTTCATGTTAAATGCCAGCAGTAGAGAGCATGAGTATGCCAGTAACATCGTAAATATGACTCCCAAAAGTTGAGTAATCGGCCATTTGCATATAGCCAATTTGAGTGTTCGAGAAGAAAGGTCTAAGTGAGACAATGAAGTGAAGGCAAGATCTAATGATTTATGTAGCCTGCAGATAACTATGGAGGAGTTTAATGACTTCCCAGTTGAATTGTTAATTGTTATTTGTTACAATTTGATCAAACAATTGAAGAGAAAAAGAGATGGATTTATGGTTCGAACAAAACGAGATGGTAAAAAGGCCAAAAAAAAAATTCCAAGACAAAATTAAGAGGTATATGTGCAAATCAAGTTTTATAACACACAATAGTAACCACGGTTAGAATTGTAATTAATTTAGCTTAACAACAATCCTTCAACCCAAAATCACTGAGATGCAAATATTAAAATATATAATACCTATTATAAAATAAGATGTCACATATCATAAATTGATTCATGAGACCACAAGTAACATGTGATCATTATTCAAATGACCAAACAATCACAATATTTGGCTTATTATAACTTGGTAACAAGGATGGGTGCTCCATATTTAGGCTTCAAGAGCATCTTGTAGGAAGGAAAATGACGATAATTAGGGGAAATAGAGAAAGAGAAGTTAGACAGAAGAAGAGAGAGCATTATCTTTGCTTCTGTCAAAGCAAAGTTCTGGGCTAAACAGATTCGGCTTCCAACTCCAAATGGTATGTAAGCATTTGGATTCTTACACGCCTCTGAAACTCCTCCCAAAAATCTCTCAGGCTTGAACTCTGTTGCATCTTGTCCCCAAATATCTGCGTCTCTATGCAATGCTTGGATGAAGAACTGAATGATTGTTCCTTTTGGGACCACCAATTCACCTAATTTGATCTCTTCCAATGCCTCCCTAGATACCACTATTCCAGGTGAATATAGACGCAGGCACTCTTGAATCACCATTGTCAACTACCAAAGAACAAAGTTTAATTAATTAGACCCACTTCTTATCATGCATGCTAGTTCCGCATGAATGTTTTTTTATATATACATCTAAACAATAAAATTGAAAGTATGTCTTAAATTATAAGATGTAGTTATATAAAGAGTCATTGTGTGTAGGGTCAAAGGTATTTTTTTGTCATTCAACCGTTCACTCAAGAGTGTTTTGTATTCTAAATTTATGTGTGTTGCAATTCTAAATTTGAAAATGATGCATTGGACACTTTAGAGTTAAAAAAAAAAAAAATTTTGACCATTAATTGATAAAAAACAGTACAAAAAGGACCTAAAAGATTACCACAAAGGACCCATAAAATTTTTATCAGTTTATTTATATTTAATTTATGGGACTTAATTGATATTAATTTTTTTATATGGTACTTATGTGTAATTTTATGGGTCTTTAATTTTTTTAGAATTTTTTAGGTTTTTTTTTTGCATAATTTTTAAGTTAACTAACATTAAAAAGGTAACTTTTTTAATAGTAAGGTGCTCAATGCATCATTTTCAAATGTTGAAATAGAAAATTGCATCACATGAAAGTTTAAGATATTAGAAGCTCCTGAGTGAATAATTGAGCAGCAAAAATATCCTCTAACCCTTGTGTGTATACTATACATGTATAATTTGAAACTAAAAAATATGAAATTTACGTGAATTTGATTTTCAAATTAAGAAATATAAACTCCAAATAATGCATGGTAAAATGAGTATAACTTTATGTGTTGAATCTAAATTTACTTTTCTTGATATAAAAGTATATATCCATGCATATTCTAGTTCACTAGAAGGAGAAGAAGGGTACTAGTTTCAACTTTCGAAATTTGTCCATGTCACGGAAGCAGTGAGGCGACATGTTGGGAAAGGTATCAAGAATCTCTGAGCGAAGACATTCTTGCCGCTGAGGATTGAATGCCAAAATAATCAAAGTCCATGTAACTAATACAGCTGTGGATTCTGATCCAGCGAAGTAGATGTTCTTGCACATATCAACAATTAGTTTCTTTGCTTCGTGCTGTTTGTGCCTTAGCTTCTTCAATGTTCTCCATCCACTATAATCATTGGCATCAATAGTGACACTGTCAATAGTTATCTGTAATAAGTCCTTTTGGTTCAGATTTACTTGGCCCTGGTTTTCTTTCTCACGATCTTCAACCACTGTCAGAATTAGCTTCTCTATCTCTTTCTCCAACCTCCATATTTCTCTATTTCCCTTGGTAGGAAGATATCTAAGCAGGCACACATAGGATGTTTGATAATGCAGAAATCAGTATAATTCAAAATACTTTACTTGGTCAAAAATCATTAGTAATCGTTGTCTTAGTTTCTTTGCTTGATTGTAAGTGATTCGATGATTTCACACGTAAGCGGGATCGAGTTTGTGTTGCCATTATATATCATGGAAATTTGGTAAGTACATTGTTTAATCACTTACAAGTTCCTATGTATAAGATGTTTGATAAAAATCTTCAGCATTTACCCAATTCCTTTATTTCAATTTTCTCTTGATGTTGCAATTTAGAGAGTATTTTTGAATTACACATTAGAAATAAACATGAAGGAAGCTAAAAATAAAACCTGAGGATTGAAATCCCAAAAGGAAGGCTTGGCTTTGCCAAAGCTGATTGCAAGGATGCAAGCTTATCAAAAATTTGAATTCCCTGAACATATGAGCTTCCAAAGCAAGCTTTGCAAATGACATCAGTTGTGAGTGCCTTCAAGTCATTGTCAATCACAATCTCAGCCATTTTCCCTCCACTTTCTCCGATACACCTCTCCCATTTCCTCATGATTTCCCTTGTTGATTCTTCTATCATAGCTACCATGTTCTGAAAATTCCAAAACAACTAGGTAGGCCACTACTTCATATAAAAACGGGTGAAGATTCAACAACATATATTGGTCTGTTTGACCACCTGTTTGTAGAAACAGTTTTTTTTTTAAAAAAACAAAAAACAAGATGAAAAATCTACTTTTGAAAACATTTTTATATGTGTTTCGTTACTTTTAGTTCTGCAAAACTAGAGAAAAAGTAGAAGATATTACATTTTCATTAATGACAATTTGATTAATAAAATAAATTATTCTTTAATTTCACCCTTTATTTCACCAATTTAGATATGTTGTATAAACCATGATTCGAGTGTTAAGCGGTGACTACTGTACAATGTTTGAAAGTAATAGAGTAAAAGTGCAAGTGGTTAAGTAACCTGAATCTTGGACAGGAAAAATTGAGGAGCAATAATGTTTCTCTGGAAGGACCAGTATTGTCCATTAGCCATGAGGATTCCATCTCCCAACAAAGGCTTCACAACTTTGGACATAGTGGGAGACTTACCAAGATCCAAGCTCCTTGTTAAATTTAGCTCTTTGAGAAGTTCTGGATCTCCCACATACAAATGCTGCTTACTCCGAATGAAGTACAGATATGTTGGACCTAATCATCATCATCATCATATTCATATATCAATAAATTATATACATATATTGTGATTAAGGCCTAATTGGTTTCTGTTTTCATTTTATTTTGTTTTTAAAAACTATTTTGCAATATAGTTTTAAAACTACTTTTCAAAACAAAATAAAATGAAAATATTTTTGATGATGTTAATTTAAAAATTGGTTTCTTTATAAAAAAAAATCAACCGATAGTGATGGTCATTGATGGTTAATAATGGTTGCATATGATAATAATTAGTCAAAGTGATTGTAGTTTTCAATAATCAAATGTAATGGATTTTAAAAATAAGAAAAATAAAATGAAAACTTTTTAGATGTTTCTATTTTTTTTTCTTTTGAAAACAAAAAATGACAATAGTTTTGTAAACAAGTAAATTCAAAACATTTTTCCAAACAATTGTTTTATTTTTTTTAAAACAAAAAACTGTTTTTGAAAACAGAAACCAAATGTGCCCTAAAATAGTGAAAGGGAACATCGATGTGTGTGTGTGTGTGTGCCTGTGTGTGTGTATACCATATTGTTTCCTCCATTGTTGGAGATATGGAAAGAGAAAGGAAAACCATTGATCTGATGAGATTGGGAACGAGGAAGAGGAGAGATTGGAGTAATGTGATTGGATGCGTTGAACCTCTGAGAGATTGCCCCATGGGAAGGAAGGTGTTGGTCCTGTGATCCCTTGCTTATGAAGAACTGATCGGATTCTCTGAATTTTCAACCATAGCTTCTCCAATATTGTCAAAACCAGGAAGCTTACAACTATGGCTATCACTGACCAAAATATTTTTTCTGTCTGCCATTGCCATGCCTCTTCACCACCTTCCATCTTGGATCAGGGATAATGGAAGAGCTAGGAATATTGTAGAGTATAGCAAGAGCGGATTTTGACCAGGAAAGAAACTTTCTATTGGAAAAACTTTGCTTGGCCTATTGCTACTACGAGAGACTCAACTATTTATAAAATTCATGGGGAGTTTTAGATCAACATACATATTGGCAAAAGGAATCCCAAAGATACATGCATTTAAAATTACTGTTATTCATATATATCGTTTTTTATAGCCAATATTAATTATTATGCATGTACCTGACTATCTAATAATTCATGTATTTAGAATGGTTCATGAATTAAGTATTTAATAATGGTATTATAACTCCAATCCTCCAATTTGCTAGTTTATAAATTGAGAAAACGTACAATGTATTTGTCATAAAGTTAATAACTTGATACAAATCCAGGCCATAAACGGCCCTAATTGCACTCCAAGAAAAATGATTTAATGACAAAATTTAGCTAGGCATCATTCTTTTCTTGCTAAAAGCCTGAATCAGCGAGGAACAATGACTTGTAACTTGAGAGCTAGATTTATTGAGAGAATTAGCTAGTGAGGAAGTTAGCAAGGCCTAGTTTTTCCTCTCTCAATGTGAGAAAACTGTTGAGGCGCATATTTTATTCCTCTCTAATTAGTGAGGAAATTAAAGAACAAATTGATGAGACGTATTTTATTTCTCGATAAGATAATTAATTGACCAAAACAAATCTATTTTTTATATTTTAAATTTTCCTCTAATTAGATAATATAATATATTAAAAATTAAAAATATAAAAAAAAGAGGAAATGTCATCATGTAATTCAATTATATATATATATATATATTTCATTTTTTTATAAAAATCTTTAAGTTATTTATAGATTAAGTGGAAAAAAAAGATGGACAACGGAGGTGTCTCAAGTTATGGGTTCTAGCCTTGGTTAATGCATGTTATTAAATGAATATATATATATATATATATATATGCAAGCACATGTTGAGAAGTGATATGGCATGACATGGCACATGTGGAGGGATGATATTGCAATTTCCTAATTTTTGTTTAGGAATTCAATTGTGGATTAATTGAGGATCCAAAATAGATTTATTGTTATCTTGAGGTTTAATTGAGGAATGAATTTGTGATTGAGGTTATTTAAGGTTAATCACATATTTAGACATTTAATTATGATTACAATTGGGCCTAAAACCATGTATTAGGGTCAACCATCATTTATCATATTACTAGACTCGTAAGTGATTTTCGCCTCATCTTATTTGACAATTACTATGATAACTATCAAATATGATACCATTAAATATTTAAAATTTTGTAGAAGTGAAAATAGGTATTAGGTTGAATTAGGCCCAAATCATTACACTTAATTGGAGAATTCATGCACTATGACAAGTGCTACATGTAAAGTCCCAGTTTAAACTGGGCTTTACCATAATTCTCATTATATAATCAACCTATACAAATACAATAATATCAGAGTAATAACTCTTTATTTGTTTTCAAATCGCGGGATCCTGACTTCTTAAAATAAATATTCAAATAAGAGGACTCGTGGAACCACAAATGTAGTCAAATGACTAAAAAAACACAACAATCTCAATCCCAAAAATGGGTCATGCACTGCAGTGTGCAATACATGCACCACAGCATGTGGCACAGAGCCACATGCTTGAATTTTTGTGTCATGCACTGTAGCGTGCCATGTGCCGCAGCATACCAATCCAAATTTTTTGTTGTCATTTGATAGCAAAAATGATGAATTTTCGGCATGCACCATTTTCACATCCGACGTCCGATTGGAGTGATTCAAGTACCCATATGAAGCTTACAATGTATACAAGTTAATGGAACAAGTTTGGACTTGATATAATGGTCCGATCTAAAATTAGACATTTGGGTGTAAAAAGTCACTTTTTCTTTTAAAACTTGTACCTTAAGTACTCAATTCTTATTCCTTGTCTCATCAGACCACTTCGGGCCTTAAACCAAGTTCAAAAGGACCACATACACCTGATTGACACCTCGTATCACATATATTATATCATTTGCCCATTTTAGCCTCTTAATGCCATGTTACACAATTGTGAACTTATATGAGGAAAACATATACAACACATATTCACATATATATAACTAGACTTGTTCCATTTTCAACCCTCCGACTCTTACATGTGGGGCTTCACCTCACCATATGGTTGGGAATCATATCATACTTAACTCTTTCAAATAGGGCTTCGCCTCACTATTTGTATCAAGTTCTCATACGACCACACAATTCACAATCAATACACAATCAACACACACACACACACATATATATATATGCAAGTAGAATAAGTTAAACAAAATCATACACTTACTTGTTTTAGCATCTAGGCCTACTCATGTACCCTCTTACTGGGGCACCCTCAGTGAAATCCAACATCATTTACATATACAGGCAAGATTCACAACACAATTCATATACATAGTTACTTATGAATCCTAGTTGGCAATTCAAATTCTATAAACAACTTTATACATTCATTCATACATATGGTAGTTATACCACTACCAAATGAAGCTACTCTTTTCTTGCATCCTTTCCTAACCTTCTCATGCTCTCTTCTTTTGTGTTTAAAAGTAATGAAGTAAAACATACATTCCAATAACTCAGAGATAACCTCAATTACTAATTAGTAAGTAAAATCATAAACAAGCAATAAAGTAGTGTTGTATCAGTAAAAGCAATATCATATGCATATACAAGAATTCATTCTCATCAATCTCATTATGCTCGTGCAATGCATTCCTGGTTTCACCTAGTGGAGTAATCTCTACACTCTAACCAGGACTTCTAGTCACAAAAAACAGGGTCCACCATACTATTGCTCAAACTAGGTAAATCCTCTTCATATATGAATGGTCTCCTAGATATGTCATGGAGAAATTAAACTCTATGCTCTAGATCATCGGGACTTCATAACCTTATGCAAAGTAGGACCACGACCCCTTAATCTAGTATAGGGTAGCCTTATACATCATTCCATATCCTAGGTCCGTCATGGCAGAGTTAAGCTCTATGCTCTAGATCATCAGGATTCTTCTCCTAAGTCTATCATAATGAAGTCAAGCTCTACGCTCTGGATCGTCAAGACTTCCTGGACCTCCTTATGGTAGGATTGTGTCCCCTACTATAACCCAGGGTATTCTTGGGGATGCGATATATGTCAATGCACATGCCACCTCTTTGACATTTTAATCAATACTCACACAACCACATGTATATACTTTCACAATGCTGCTACTCTATCAGTTCACAATTGGCATGTAGTTATATCAAAATACTTGTAAATAATTTCATAAACAAACAAGTAAAACAATTGCTCCAGCTACCTTTAACCCTTGTTATTAAGGACTACCAATCATACTAAGCTCCTAGGGGCACAAATTCTTATGAGCAACTTCACAAGTACTCAATCTACATAATATAGTGCCCCTTAGTCAATTCTCAACACTTTTCACAAGCATTAATTTGGTTAAATTGAATCCTTTAGCGCACACACAATGATCCAATTGAACCCTTCTGAATTCATTTACCCACTATTTATAGTCATTAGCCTTATAGGCTATTCAAACAACAATAACAACATCCTAACTCATTTATTCCACCAATTTCATCCTTTAACCTAACTTTCTTAAGCTAAATGAGCTTAAGTCCTCAAATCTTAACCATTCAACTCCATACTTGTCACAAAACCTTAGTTCTATATTCGATAACTCGTTTTAACCCATTCTTTTAAATTACAACACCTTAGAACTTCATGATTCAATTTCTCATTAATAAAATTCAATGAAAATGGGGTAGAATAGAAGCTTGGGGTTGCGCACCACTTATCTGACAAGTTACTAATTGAAGTAGACTCTAAATCTCTAGATATAGCTTGCCATAGCAGATCCAAAGCTTCCTCATTTCTCACGCATATTTCCCCCTCCTTCTTTTTCTGATTTCATGATCTGAGTTATAGTAAAAATTCCACACTATGAACCATGGTGCATGACATAATAAGAAATCTCTCACTTATGCTCGCACGTTAAGCCCCGGATTGTCATTCTACCCTTCAATTGTATCAATACAATATCTAAACAATACAAAACATCAACCCAACACTCAAACCACAATCAATCTACTAATTACTAATTTACCCTTGGTTAGCAATTAGTTCTTGGGATTGAAATTCAAAATGTTACACTACAGTAAATGAGAAGTTTGCCATGACACACATTGTAATTATGTACTTAATAATCTATTTGGAAGATAGAAAGAGAGGGAGATAAATAGAAATTGTAGGTGAAAAATTTATGGTGTTAGCTAGGGTTTGGTGATACTCATCAATTTAGGCTAGTTTTGGAGCATTAAAAGCTTAAGGTAAACACTCTAACCTCTCCTCTACCTTTTATTCTTCATTTTTCTAGCTCCTTTGAGTTGGTTATTTAGCTAGGGTTTCATTTTTGGAGAGGCCATAGTAAAGAGTCTGAATCTTATATGTTGCTTGAGGCCTAATAAGTGTTAGTCCAACGGTTTAGTTGGTGATTATAACAATAGGTACTAGTCCAAATCTAGAAACCTATGCTTGGTAGGTGAACTTTGATGATGATTAGTGATTATATGAGTGTTTTAAGGTTAAATATATGTTCAAGAGGTGTAATGAGAATTAATATGTCTTAAAGACTGTATGCAATTGTATTGGACAACTCTCCACTCTTTTGAGCATCCTATTGTTTCTAAACCAACATAGGGCATGCCTGAACTCATGAATTAGCCATCTTTGCCATAGTTATGTTATGGCTAAAGTCGCTGTAGTAGACCTCTTAAAGGAATTGATCGACTAAAGGAAGAATTTGTGCTTAACAAAGAATTTTCTAGGACCCAAAAAGCATGAGAAGGTTGAGTGACTGTAATTGTGAAATTCATTCTCAATTAGTCATGCATGAAGGGGCAGGTTTCCTTGCAT